ACTTACTATTGCCACATGGTTGAAGATTGAAGAAAAGCTAGTTTTTCAACAATGTAGCAATCATAATCAGATTCTGTACACTGATCATACTTGTTCATTATCGAATGAGTTTAAGAAAATCGCTATCGAGGGTATTCATTTAGTAGAACCTCAAGTTCTCTTAGTGACTTTTCTTCTATTAAGGAGCTTGAGTTACATTTTGAAAATACTTAGCGTATTAATGACCATGGTAGTGGTCAAGAAAATGCTACGAACTAATATTAATGAAGTTTTTACTTTAGCAAGTATTCGAGCTAGTAGCCGAATTGCCTATCATCGGCTGAAAATTTTTCTGAATCTCATTATTTGGAAAACAAATTTGATTGTGCTCTATTCTTCGATTGATTAATAATCGATGGAAACAGTGCCATTTTAATTTGATTTTTCAGTACCAATTTTAATATGGCAATCTTACTGTCATCTTTTATCGGTGGGTGTCTACATCCCTGACAGTATCAAAAGCCCATAGTTTATGCTTTCACATTCATTTTCTTTCTCTTAGAATCTATTCTGCTAAATATGACGATGTATTATAATAATTGATCAGTATATGTTAATTCTACTTACCGTTGCACTGCATCCGGTCCCATATTGTATAACAAGAGAATTTGTATCACTTGATTGTCGCGGTCGAAAGTAGACGCAAGTAATACGACTGGTCGATCCAATCATTGGTGTGCCAACCGCGTACATAAGCGTTTTCATTGCATTAGTAATCGTTAGGCGATCTGTCTCATCTATTACTGAAAATGTTTAGAGTATTGTAAATGCTCATCTCACCCGATATTGCTGAAAAGTCGTACGGAATAATTCTGTTAGGCCAACGAGCACTGTCACCATAGATAGCTGCTCCGCGTCCTCGTAGAAGTATCATGTCGCCCTCAAACTCACCACCTTTTGTAAATGAGAACTATCGCATACAAGTTGAAATTTGGTAAAAAGAAGTGTCTTACCAAGCAGTTCGGCATTGGGTCCAGTAGATACAAATTGACGCGACTCTAGTGGCGGCTCATCAATCATCTGTAGAAAGCAATGGACATTCTTAATATTAGGAAAATACCAGAAGCTTACCGGAAATCCTTGTACAAGGACAAAGTAAGAAACTATGAGGATTGTAGAAAGCATCTCCTCTTTACTAATTCACTTCTACCCTTAAAAATACTCTTCGAGGAAGAGACCATCGTTGTTTGACATAGAAAACATAATTTACATAGTATCACATTTGTGATCAATAAACATGTTTGGTGCATGAATAAGTAAGACTTGGTTTCCATTTTCGTTGATGCATACTTAACCAGGAATAATGAGCACCTTAGCTACTAAACGATGCGTATTGGCATAAATTTAATAATATTTAATCAAATGTAGTTCGAAAGAAATGTTTTTTCTTGCCACAATATCGTATATATTTTTATTGCTTCTTTACTAACAAATATCAATGCGTATGTAATTATTCTCATCTACTAAATAATGAATGTTTCGAAAATTTTCGCTAAGCTTTTCTTGGAGGAAACATTTATTCTGGCTTCCTCCCTAACACTTTAGGAAAAACTGAACTCTATGGAAACACTCACAAAAGTATTTCAAACATACATAAAACGACTTGGTGTTTCATCCTGATTCTGAGTATGCTATTGGTAGTGATTGAAACAATCTTTTTCTGAACGATATTGGCTAAGTATCAATCAAAAGAGCAAGGAATTTTTTTTTCAGGAAGAATTTGCTTGAACATTTCTTCAGTGGCTCGTACTTTTTTAAGATTGAAAAGAGCTATCGAGCCTGCTATGACTGTATGAGAAAGGCTGCATTACACAAATACTCATGATCGAATATCGATGGAAAGATGAAGTGATGAGCATAATGTAGTGAAAGTAGCGTCAATGCTGAAGATTAAATAACGCGAGACATGTTATTCAAAACGCAGCTCGTAAAAAAATTAAGACAAATGATTGTTGAAATGTAAGACAAAATACTATATATATCTTTGTTAACTCAATCGTCTACTGGAATACTTCGATCAATAGAAAGTAACATATTTTTGACTGTATTACAACACTATGATTCACTCATTCTATTGTGAAATGATATATTTTCATCGTGACTATAATTTATACGTATATTTGGACAAAGAAATATGGTACATGGTTCTCTTAACTTTTGATTTATATAAAACGAATTAATTTTTCTTCTCATTTCGATACTGGAAAATCAAATTACAATTATTCGAGTGTAATTCATTTATTGAAACTCAATTGAAGAATATTCACAAAAAGACTTTTCTCATTTTTATTTATGAAAACACAGATCATCTAAAACATAGACTATGTATTTTCATGCAAGAAAACAAACAATAGCCTATCGATGGAGTGGCAATGTTGCTATTAAGTGTGACTGTGAATGTGTGTAAGATGTGAGTGATACAAATGTGAGTTGAACTGTAGCTGTGACAATGTATGGTTGAGCATGGTACTTTTGTTCACTCACACCCACTTCGCAAAACCTATAGGCTGCTGTTCCATCATTGGTGAATAAATATTCGCCGACGAGAAACGAAATTCAAGACTATTTTATGTTGATTAGTGAGTGCTATTTAGTCTGTATTAAACCGGTTCTTCTATCGATTATTGCCGTTAAGCGAATAATCAATATCGTAACACAACATTTCACAATCTGAATGTTAACATGGTTAGAAAAAAAAAATGAAAATAAAATTGGATAAGTTTTCTTGTTTAGAAAGACCATTTATGTGTTGTAAAAAATAAGAAATAAATGTATCTATCATCATGTTTATTTGGTACTGCTTAAAAATAAATGCAATAGTAAATTTAACATAAGCAAGTAACAATCAAAAAATCACAAAAATATTAAAACGGTCATTCACGAGATTATCTTATTCAAAGATTTTGTGTTATCACAACTGAGACGTTTGCTGCCATTTGGCTTCTTGTTGCAACTGCTGTATACGCTGGATATTGTATTTGATCTTTGTCGAGTTTGCACATTTCACTATGAGCTTAGAAAATAATATTCCAATCGCCAACAACACATAGACTCCAATCATAGCCCATCCAACACATAACATAACTAAATACTTATATGGATTTGGCAATGTTCATCGAACCAACGTCTCCTTTCTACTGTCGTAATAACATGTGTACACATTGTCAACCTAAAATTTTGATAAGCAATCGTACAAAATGCATATGTTGTGGTTAAAGTTAAAACTCAGACAAAATTAAAATTTCTTTTTGATGAACAGAAAAAAGTAAAGAAGGACTCACAAAACTTATTAACACATATTAAATGAAGCTGTGAGTGTGGTATGTGTGAGTATTGGTGGTTGCGATCACACGCACATCCAACCTACATCCAAAGTCCTGCTTCTTAACACATTTTCTTTCTCTATCTTCCGAGTTCTTTTGTAATCGATATGAAACGAATTCACTTCTTGATATATACGTATGTTCGAAAAAAAAAAATTTTTCTTGTCTTTCCAACATTTAATCTATTCCTTTATTTTTATTTTGAGAATGAGACATTAATATAACTGAATATGACTATTTGTCTTTCTCTTCGTTTTTATCATAATAACAACACCGAAAAAAAAAACTAAGAGAGAACGAGTGTTTGGGAGCAATTTATTGTTCTTTTTGACATTTAAATTTTCTTTTCTTTATTAATCTCAGCATTGTTTCAAGTATTTTCAGTCAGAAGGAATTGTACTGTTATTTACAGAAAAGTAGTTTAAGTTCGATTGTCTTCGATGTCGGAACCGTCATGAATCGACCGGAAAGATGAAAAAAAAATGGTACGAGTTATTTTGTTGCATTTTGGTGATTCTTGCAATTGGATTCAATCGAAACTTTCGGGAATATTGCTGATTGTTTCCTGAGCGATTTCGACTGTAGAAAAATGACTTGAGATGGAATAGGACAAATATTTTTCTACGAAACCCAACTAAACAGTTTCGAATATGTATCTAATAAGTAAACTATCGATCTTTGTTTTACGTTGCGATGCTGTTAGTTAATTGTTCACGTCTATCTCTAACATAATATGCGGCTCCAACAGAACCGAGAATTATTGATGTAATTATCAATAGTATCGTAATACAGTAAATCCAAACTTTGCAATCATTTGAAAGCTGCATCGACATAATTTATAAAATGAAAAGATAGCCAAAGTGTTTGTATTTTTATATCACCTTCTGAGAGAAGGAAGTGCACACGTCAATATAGGTTTTTTTCGTTTATGTTATATCTATGTATGATGAGTCAATTTTTGCGTTCCAAAATTTTACAACAAATAGTATTTACTTTGCAAAGATAAGTAACAGGAGGACATGGCAAATTCCTATTTCTAGAATATTCAAATTTTCGTACATCTTTATCCAATGAATAATCAAAGCTCACGAATACTATTGCAAGGAGCCATATTAAATGTTTATGATGTGCAATTTAGCTGAAGTTGGCTTTCACAAATTCAATTGAATGGATAGAACTCGTAATTTGGCGTTGGATTTTGTCAGGAAGTTCATTTTAATGTTAAAAGTATATATAAATGGAGGGTATATGTTTGAAGGTTGAATGGATTAGGAACGGTGTGTGTGAATGACAACAAGAACTGCATTTACACCACTACCCTTAGTCACAGCCTTGTATCAATTTTATGCTTTTTTTCATTTGTATAATAGTGATTTGACTAGTATTTTATTTTAAATATATTTTAGAAGTAAAACAAAAATTAAAACAACTATCTTATAACGCCAATCATTAATGCTAATATTCATTCAAGTTACTCAATGAATCATTTGAGATCGGTTAATAGTAAGAAGATGAATTTTCAGACTAAATTCAATCCCAAAATTATACACATCATTTCTATGTACTATTTGTATTAAAATCAATTTCCTATGCTTTTTTTTCATAGCCATTTCATTTGAACTTATCGAAAATAGGAAGTTATCATGCTATGAGTAATAGTCATTATTTCAAAATACTTAGAAGAAGAAGACAACTCTTTAGATTAGTTAGTTCTTCGATAATGCAGTCGAGTAATTTTGGTACTTTTGAAACACTCTTTGTATGTCATTCTTCTTTGCCAAGTTCTCTTTGGTATACTATAACAGCACTTAAAAGCTGACACTTTTTTATGATTTTCACCATTGTCCTTATTGAATGGGTTTTTTTTACAGCTTGTAAAATGTGTGCTACTATCGGGATCATTTTTATTTATTTTCGAAAATATCCATATGGGATAATCATTAGTATTAAATACTTTCAAAAATAGAATTCAAATTTTGTTTTAGAAAATTAGATTCTTTAAAGTCGACTAGAACATTTATTCGAAGTATGTGATGCATTTTTTTACTTCTTATTGGCACATTCGTTTTGAAACAATGTTCTATATTCAATGGAATTTCATCGCATACTATATTGAAATCAAGAAATAAATGTGTTTTCAGATTTATCATTAATGAAAAAATACAATTTCAAAAGTTAAAATGTTAACCTTCTACTTTTTGTTCTATTTATGCTTTTTATTTAAGAAATTAAATTATAACTCTCGTTTAGATCTATCATTTGTATGCTTTCCTTTTGTAAAATTGAACTATATACGACACAGTCACCTTCAGTACTACTCAATAGAGTCTGAAACAAACCTATCTCTTCAGGATTGGGTTCGGTTCAGATCAACAAGTAGCT